AAAGTTGATCAAAGCTGAAATGTTCACCATCTTGTTTCCCTCTTTGCTCATTACAAGGTTGCTGGGGCGATGATCCTCAATTGAATGTTGATGCTGATGACATTGATGATTAGTGGGTTTCCACTTTGCTTACCCATCATTTTCATGTTAATTTTTCATACAACAAACTTTTGCAACATGAGCCAACAATTTTTGTTTCATTATTGCATCAAAAAGATTCATTTAGATACAAAGGTTCAGGGCATTTTCAACATTCAACTTTTTCTTTTACCCGATAACATGCATTATATCGAAAAATAGAATCAATTTTTTTGTTGGAATCGGCATGAACGAGACTTGAATGCTATTTTTAAGTACTTTTCCCTATTCTTTTGGCCCTCGTCTTTACTCTTTATCTTTTCTGTTGAATCTCATCAAGTCTAATCAACATTTTTCTTCACCTTCATCATTACATATCCATCATCATAATTTTCATTCTCATGATAATAATTGGTGAAAACATTCAATTTACCAGAATTTACCAGTTTTTTTTCCTTCTCTCAATAAATCATTCATTTTATTTTCTCATCCATTTTCATCCTTTTCCCATTTGTTTGCTCTTCCTGTTCAACTCTTTCATCTCGCCATGGATCATGTATTACATCCATGAATTACTGCATCATTGAAATATTGAAACATTTCTCTGTCCAAAAAGGATTGCTAAATATTTCAAGGTTAACACATTCACTTTTCGTTGCCCATCAACATGCTTCAAACCCATCAGACAATTGTAAATGTTGGCCATTTTTCACTGCTCAAGCAAACTCAGCTTCAAATGTTAAGAGTCAACCCAATATAGCACAAAACTAACAAAAAGCAACCTTGCAAGAAGCAGTAAACAACAAGAAGCAAAAAAAAGATGAGGAAAAAAAGACTTGCGTGAGAACCTTTACCTTTTTATCGTATTTACTTGCCTTTCAATTGATGATTCCTTTCAACCTTAGCTTACCTTTTTTTTGTCAATCATCTTATCTTTCCTCTTCATCATCATCTTCCTCCTTGATTCTCCTTTGACTGCTTCTTGCCCAAAAATACACCTTTTATTTCACCTTCTTTCAACCACTACTTTCATTTTTTTTTGGGTTCAAACCAACTGAAATCCCAATGACAAAAGCAAATCCAAAACAAACCCATTTTTGTTGCTACCTTCAACTGTTAACTTGAATTTTTTAATATATCTTTAAATATCATCTTTTAACATGATTACATCTTTAATTTAACCATCAGTTAATATCTTCCATTCCAATTAATATCAGGAAAAAAGGTTTGAATTTCCATCAATCTTTCAATGTTTCCAAATGAAAAATGGCCAAACAACTGATTGTAGGTTTACAACAAGAGAAAGGTTTATTGATTGAAACCCAAAAGTTGACTTAAATATATACTTTCGCTGTAGCAATAGGCAGCAACAATAAAGCTGTTAAAATGAAAAGCAATCGCATTTATTAATTTATGTTGATTTATATTGAATCAGGATTTAGTAGCTGAACAGGTCAAATATAACCTTTCCCGTTTGACTGTTTCAATCCATAAATATATATATAAATATATTTTTACCTGACTTACCTTTTTGAATGGCTTTAAGCCTTGTGGCTATCAAGAAAGCCTCAAGTCTTTTCCTTTTTTTGTTGTATTTGCATTTCAGACTTAAATTTGGGTTCCTTTTTCAGCAAACCCAAACACTCACTAAACAGTGAAACCAGTAAACCAGTAAAATAAGTAATCTTCTCTTTCTTCCTCTCTCCCAATGTCAACCACTTTTATCATTCCTATTTCATTATTATCACCATTATAATCATCATTACAACTATTATTATTGCTTCGATTACTTTTACCATTTTCCTCTTTCAACCTTTTCCATCATCATTATCATCTTTCGTCTTCCTATCAACCATTTACGACTCAACCAGTCTCATTGATTGTGAATTACTATTCATGGTCAAAGTTACCTGTGAAAGGGAAACGTGAAAATTTTTCAACTTTATTTTTCGAACCAATTGATTGGACATTTTTACTCCTTAATTATCTCAACATTTTCTAATCATCACCAGTCTTTAGCTTGAAACTTCTTCTTCCTCTTGAGGAACGTGAATTGAATGATAAACATTTGATTGAAACAAAAATCTTAAAAGCAAAATTGGATTCAATTGATTATACTATCAGTGAACATGTTTTCACCCAAAAATAATATCCAACAATCAGTATAGACTATTAATGTGAAAACAAGAAAACATGTTGAAATGAATTTTTACTCATTCTTGCCTTTTCTTCTACCCATGAAGATGATACGTGTTTTGCTTAAGGTAACATTGTCAATGATTATTAATAATGTTAAACATCGAGTGACAAAAATATGTTTTATACATAATTGTACTCTTACTTGACATTAATATTAACACTCAATGGTAATTTGGGTAAAAATGTTTTCAGATGAACACCAAAATAGGAGAAGAAACAAGGTAAAAATGATAATCACTTCTCAGGTTTACTCGAGTATTTACCACTTTTAATGATGGAAATGTTGTGATTATTAAAATTATCACAATTATTGTCACAATTATTATCATAGTTATTGATAATATGCAGCCCTGATGATGTTGGTTAACATTGTTTTATCATTTCTCCCATTATCATATTTATTATCACATTAACATAATCTATTACCAACTTGTTTGACTGTTAAAAGCAAATTGTCCTTGTTGCAAGGACAATCAGATTATTGATTGATTCATATTGTCTCATTTAATGGATGCAATCGGAGAGTTTAAATGCTCATAACAAGTCCATAGGAATTGACCCAGAAATGTTGAAACCAGAAACCAGAAAGTTGCAAGGTTAAAAGACTAATGATTATGCGTGGATGTGTTTTGTTGTTGATGTTGTGTTGATGCTGAGGATGGTTTTAATTGCCAATTACCAGCAAAACAATCAAAAGAGTTTGTTGATCTTAACCACATAAATATGTTCACCTACACATGAACATCTTATGATGAACCCATCATGAGGTTGATGTCGATCGATTGAAGTGAATGGTTTAAAAGGTAATCAACAAAGGGTTTGGTGTTACCAATGGAACCGGTTTCATTTGTGACTTTAATCATTTATATTTTATTTACATCATTAGACAACAATTTTCAATGGTTTCCTTTTTAATTTACAATTTTAATAACCAATCAATGAATCAAAACTAATTATCTTTTCCATCATTAATGTAACCATGATGCATGAAATATGATTGTTGCCAATCAATAATAATATTGATTATCAAATTATTTCAATATCATTTCATGATCTATTTCATTTTCTGTACTTTTTTTGGGTTCTTTGGGTTCTTCTTCTTTTTTTGCCAGTTTCCATGAGAAATAATGACTTTTCTTGAAAAATTATTCAACATTGAATTTGATTCTTTCCAAGCTTTAATTGTTTCATTGTGTGTGTGCCTGTGATTGTGATTAAGCTGTAATTGTCATTCTTACGGATCAACTTGTTGTAAAGTTCAATAGCAATAAGATGACAAAGATGAGTGAAGATTGCATTTTTTCCTGGTTATCCTTGAAAATGTCCATTCACACTTGGTTACATTGAAATGTCTTTCTTCCCTCTTTATGCAGTGAAGTTTACAAGACAAGGATGTGTGTTTGTGCATCAACAACTATTGATGTTGGGAGAGGAAAGGAAAAGATGAGAAAGGAAAGCTGATGATGAAGAAGAGAGTGAAACTCACGTAATAACAAATAACGTGCTCTGTGTTGGTTGAACTCAGAATATCTCCAAGGTCTTCTCTTTATAATGAATATTGCTTTGATTTCTCCTTAGACTTTCTTCTTCATCATCCCATCATCATCATCGTCTTGTTTTTTTCTTCTTCTTCTTGTTTCTCGTTCTTTGCCAAATTGCAATATAGAAGATGATAAATGATGAAAATGTGAAATAATGTTGCTGGTAAAAACAACAACATCTTACCAGTTTTGTTACAACTTTGAAGGATAAAGTTATTTTGGTTGGTGAATGAAAAAGAGACTCGGATAATGATGATTATTATGAGATAGGAAATTGAGATAAAGGGATGAGGAAGAGTCAAGATGAAAAGTTGAATGTAGGCCAGATTAGTATTGTGATGCTGTTGACGTCAACAATCGTCAACGAATGTTAATGAAGATGAGGAAAGATAAATACAGGAAGAAAAGGATAAATTAATCAACTTAAATGTTTTGTTTTTTGCAAAATAAAACACAAAATTGGAATAAAAAAGGATTCATCTTTTTTCATCAAATTTCACTGAAAATTACGCTTCCATTAACATTATTGATAAACTTGATGATTGCGAGCATCATTTTTAATCTGTAAATTGTTACAATTGTTTCAATTGTTAACTCAGTTTCATTCAATGTTTGCAATTAAAAATATTCACTTGCAATTAAACAGTTAACCCTTTCACAGTAAGATTGATGTAATTTCTCATGGGAACCAAATAAGTGTCTATTGTATGTTACTGTTGATTGTTGCTCTGACAATCAACTAATCTTGATTCTAATGCTTCAATCAATCAAGTATTAAACTCTCTTTTTTTCCTTCCATTCCAAGTATGTTTACCTTTTTTTCAACACATTACCTTAAACCTGGTAATTAGCCAACTGTGCAACAACAATTTTTACCTTAAACATTGTATTTCATCTTCAACAACAACAAGTATAATTGAAACTGAGAAACGTTTCAGTAACTTTCATCACCCTTTTTGCACCAAACAGCAATCTTAAAATGAAAGTAAAAAATGGAAAGAAATGAAAAGCATGGCAACGTTGATGTTGATTGAAATGAAAAGATTTTAATGTTGATCTAAAATGGCCTAATGATCATAAAAATAGATGTGATTAAAGCTTTCAATCATTACCAACAATGATTGTCACCATTTTTACCATTCATAATGTTAATCATTTTTTTTACTTCCCTTCTTTATCCAGGACTTTGATTTAACAAAAGATCCCTACAAAAGTGTCTCTTGTTTACAAAAGTATATCCGTCAATGGACTGAATATCAGGATAGCCAAAAGATTTTGTTGACAACACCATCGGTTCTGGTTGGTTATCGGGTTAAAGTTTATCGATCAGAAGGAACCACTCAATGGTATACAGCTGTAATTGTTTCTTACAATGAAAATACAAAGGTAAATATTTTTTATTTTTTGGGTCTTTTCAAACGACAGTCAACATGACAGGTTAAGTAATAATGAATGACCGTTTCAACAGACAAACCGTTTATCTGTATCTACCTTAACTCATGGTTTTAACTTGAGTTTTGTTCAAAGCTTATCACAGTTTTACTGACCTGGTTTCACCCAATCTCCTTGTCATCGGGTTATTATTGTGATAACAAGTTTATTAAATTGTAATCACAGTTAATGCGGATCTAAATTGATACCTTGATTAGATCCTAGTAAGGATTTTAGCTTTTAAAATGGATTAATCTTGATCAGTGTTCATTGTTCAACTTTACCATCATTTGATTAAACCTTTCGATTCTAATTTACATTCAACTTGATAAACTGACTTTTAAAGAGACATTTATTTTTACCCAAAAACGGGTTGCCAAGTTGAAACCAGAAAAGAAACCCAAAAAAACATTCTTTTTGTCCAACAGGTTCGCCTTTCAAACTGTTATTTACTGAGCCATTGTACTTTACCTTGAATTATTTCACAAAGGTATAACTATGTGTTAAAATTGATGATAATTGAACAATTGTAGACATTGATTGTTACATCATTAGTGTATTGTAATAGATTATAAAAGCTTCAAGGTTTACTTATATCAATTGAAGTTGACTTTGTTGAAAACTGCAAATTAAATGTTAACCATTAATATTAGTTAATGTTACTTTAAAGCAATAATTTAATATTTTTCTCAATACCAGTTAATCAATTGAAGGAAACAGCAAGAAGCAAAGTAATACAAATAATCAACTGATTACCTTGTGTTGAGACACTTTATTGGTTTCAGTTAATTATCAAATCTAACTGGTTTTGGGTTTGAATGAAAAAAAGTGTTTCAATCATGAAAAAAGAAGTCAGAAAAAATGATTTCCAATTAGACTAAATTGTCGTCATTGAGAGATGAAAATTGTTATAATTAGTTGATTGTAATGAGAAGGTTTCAATTGAATTTTTCAAGGTTAACATTCATTGACCTTAATAACAATAATAATTAAGTCAATTCAAATTTAACAATTGATTTGAAATTGTAAAGATTATTATTAAAGGTAAAAAGGTTACAGAAAAAAGAAGACGAATTTTGTCGCTGAAAATGATATCACGAATTTCCTGTAGTTTGTTCATTTTCATGGTGAAAGTTCATTGGAATTACAATTGATTTTCATTATCGATCCATGATCCATTATCGTCATCTTCCTCTTCATCTTCATCACGTTGTAATAGATTTCCTTTTCTCCATCATTTTTCAGTTGAAAGAAAAAGGCTGAAAAAAAGTGTTCTCAAGTTTTTAGGTTTATCTGATCAATACCAGTTTCTGGTTGAAAACCAGAATCATTAGGGTTTCACCATGTCTATAGGCTTTCCTTGAACCTCATCTTATTTCAATTGCAAAGATATCGAGCAACTCCACGTGAGTTTAACTTTTTTTTCCTTGTTCACTGAATCCACTGATGATTGATTAATTTAATCAAACCCAATTAAATTACTCTTTCCAATCTTTAAATCTTATTTTTCTCAGAAAATTGATCAAAATATTTGAATCCTTTTTAAACCTTTAAACCCTTGAAACAATCAAAGTAAACCTTTTATTCTGGTCAATTGTCATCATCCAATTGGGAAGACAATTTGATAATTTGATTTTTGATTAAATAAAGGTTTAAAAATTTCGATATTTCCATTCACTTTCTGTGTCAGTCAGTTTAATCATAATTGTTCAATTAAGTTTCAGACTTCTATTACTTTTACTATCATCATTATTGTTGCTGTTATTATCATTATCATCGCTATTATTATTTTTATTGTTATCATCATCATTATCAAATGTGAGTCAAACCTCTTTTTTTCAATGCTTTACTTAGTTGCCAAGTGACCATAACCTGAATGATTCTGGAAATGAGATAAAAGAAAAAGTTGAAGGGAAAAAATTGCTCATAAAGAGTCAGGAAGAGGAATGGTAAACGAGATTAAAGTATTGACACAATTTTTCAAAATAAATGTTAACCCTTTAATTTTGTTTAACAAGTTTCTTTTTGTTCAACAACTGGTCAAAATGTTCATTTTTACCTTTCCTATTGTTGTAAACCTTTCATTAAGACTTTTAATGGTCAACAATCTTCGACCACTGAAATTGCTTTTAAAGTTGAAATGATGAGAAATGAAAAAAAACTTGAAATTTCTTCATTTCGCTCAACATTACATTTTGTCATTCAGATGAGTAGCTCAATGCTGATATTGCTGATGACAATGATGATGATTATGATTACCTTTCTGTCTGGTTGTTTACAATTAGTTGAAAGGGAAAAAAAGAGTTCTAATGTTGATTGGTTTCCAAATATTTGCTGTTAGTAAGCCAAGTTACAAATTTCCGTTTATTCAGTGTTTACAAACTTTCCTCGACCTTATTTAGTCTCTCTCATCATCCTTCCTCTCTCTCTCATGATGATTGTGATTAAAGTCATTTCAAGCTTAACCAAGCAAAACCCGTTAATCAACCCGATCAACATTAACCTGTTCAACGTGAATCTTGAAATGACTCAAAATATACAATAATTTCTCCTGGTAACAGTTTTACCCTTTTTTACCAATTGATCGTCAATATTATTACCTTTGTTTACTCATTTAATTACAAACACTTGATTAAGATTATAATCAGGACAGGTATTAACTTTCTTTACCTTTTTCTTTCCCTTTAATCAATCATCTTTTTTTTTCTTTCACTTGCAAATCTTGAAGGCAACTTTATCTTGACCAGTTAGACATTTGATTTTAAAGTGTCTTTTATATTGAAAATCAGTTTGTGCTCTTTGATACAAATTGATGCCAATCTGGTTACTCCTTTAGTCTTAATTAGTTGGTGTGCTTTAATTAGAGCCAATTCGCTTGAAATGATCATCAAATCTGTTTTCTGTTCCAATGCAAACTCTTTGCCAAACTTGTCAATTGAATGTTTATCCAGAAACTATTGCAGTTGACAAGCGTTAATCTGTCACGCGTTTATTCACTGCTAAAGTGATCTCCAGAACGTGTCTTGTTTTCAAACATTTCTTGGAAATAACATCAACAAAAAGGATGATTTCACTTTCCTCAATCAATGAATCATTCTCAGAGTAGTTTTCATATGCAAGCATCTAACCGCCAAGATGAAATTAAAACCATTAAATAGTTGAAAATAATCTTCATTGAAAAGTCTCAGCTTTTCTGGTTACAATGCAAAGGCACCGAGGTAAAACACCAAATCAGTTGAGCGTTTAACCGTTTAAAAACAAAGGTTAAGAGTAACTTTGCATTTGCAAAAAGATATAAAAAAAGATACAATGAGATAAAACTGTGAATGTTACAATTGAATCTTTTAAAATGACCTTAAAAACTCATCGACCATAGACCCAGTTTTCGATAACGGGTAGCCTTGGGAATCATTTCGATGGGAAAATGAATCTAATTGAATCACGTTTCAAAAATAATTTTCTACTTCAATTCTCTTTCTCCATTATTTTTCTCTTCTCTCAACAAAAAATACAAGTTTTCTTCTTCTTCTGTTGACTGTAAAGATGGTGCAAGGTAATTTAGGTTTCACCTTAAGGCCAAACTGGTATCACCCTACGGCCATTGAGGCAAGGGAATCACAGACAAGCTGATTTATCAACTTGATCAACACTATTTGCTATTTCCCTTCATCCTCATCGTCATCATTACCATCTCCCTATCACTTTCCTACCTGATAAATGTATGACTGCTGTTATGCATTTGGACATTTATTTTTCTTCATAATCATCTTTTCTGCTAAATTAAGGGCAAACCAGTTGATTGTGATTAACCAAACTGATGTTACTTTAGTTGACTCTAATACAAATCTTGTAAGGCAAAAACACTTTTACATCTAAAAACAGTTTAAAATGAAAATTGAGTTTACTGTTTACATTTTGCTACAAATATCTTTGATTTAACGATTTAATTGAAAATTGTAATCATTTTCATCAAATTGTCGAGTTGGAGACAATTTTAAGCTCAACAATTGAAGGCTAATCAAACTGATTTGTTGAAAGTTGATTACAATTGATTGCTATTCGTGAAACTGGTTGACCTCAATTCATCGGAAGTTGAAGTCTTTCTCTTTCATTCCATGTTCATGAATGAACGATTACAGTGATGACAATACACAAGAAAAGGCATGAATTTTGTTCATTTCATTTTCGCCATTTTTCTTCATTTCAATTCTGAAATGTAAAGAAAACAATTTACTGATTGCTTCTTCTTCATCACAAGTCTTTCCCTGAAATTACAATAAAACTACAAAATTCTATCGTTGTAATCATGATTCAATTTGAATAATTTTCTTCACTGATAATCAAATGATTACCTTTGAATCACCGAGAGAAACTTATTGTCATTGTTGATGATTATTATCATTATCATCATTATTCAATATCATTATTAAAATAGTCGAAACGCGTGTTGACTGTTAACTCTTTTTGTGTGTTCAACTGCGTGACTTCAATCTTTTTTTTAGTTTTCATTTTTTTCCCTTTACCTGAAGAGAAGGCAGAAAATGTTGAATCCTTTTTACCTTTCACTCTTCATGCTTTCAATTTGGTGATTATCATCATGATGATTACTTTTGTTACTTGAATTGTTTCTCCTCAAAATGGATCTTTCTTCTTCTTCTTCTTCCCCATCATCTTTTGAGGTCATTTTGTTCAAGTATAAACCTTGAAGTGATTATACAATTATAACTATTTACTGATTATATCAACTTCCTAATTGAGAGTTAATTAACTTGTCATGATTAGGTGAATGATTTAATCAACATGAAATGTGAAACAACAAACAACTAAACTGAAAAAGTAAAAGTAAACCCAATCTTTTCATCATTTTTATTTTTCCTCTTTTCTCCATCAATTTCAATCTTTTTTCATTTCTCGTTCAATAGCCATTCAATTGTTGATCAAATTTATTAATTGTT